CTCCTCATGTATGGAATTTGCCAAATTGCCTGTGGGTGCTATCGACGGCAAACATGTATAAAAGTTAACAAATTCTGGCTCCTCGAATTACAATATAAACATTACAATTCGATTGTTTTTTAATGGCAATCTGCAATGCTGATGGATGGTATACAATGATAACTGAGACCGGCTTGCTGGCCGCAATAATGACGGAGGAATTTTTTTCGAGAATTGGTTACTGACTCGAAGTCTTCTGTAATTACCTCACGATGAAACCTCAACAGCTGGTACCATATTTTTGGTGGAGACAATGTTTTCCCCATTGAAGCGTTATTTTTACTACAGCCATATCCTACTGGCTTATTGATAACAACAAAACGAATATTTAATTTCAGATTGAGACAGAAAAACAATCGAATGTTCTTTTCGAAAGATGACATACAAATTTCAAGTATTGCAAACCCCAATTCGATATTAATTACGATACTGTAGTAAACATAACGAAATCCGTATGTGTATTGCATAATTTTGTCCGGATTAGAGATGGTATTCCCTTATTCGGCAAGCATGAGAATATTCCAAAACAATTCATCACAGCAAATATTCAATTTACAAGAAGAACCTATGCAAATTAACGAAAGATCATCAGGTCCAGTGGTTCGCAAGTACTTAGCAAACTACTTTTTAAACCGTTTTAGCATCGCTTGCCTTATCAATACTGCAAAACCGAAACTCAAAAATATTTACTTAATTTTTACATAAAAAACGTCGTAAATGTATATTTTCTTTTACTCGGTAGTTTTACACAGGTACGGACGTGAAAATATTAGTCTTCAGGAAATGTTAGAATACAGGTCGGACCACCCTGTATAATCAACTAAAGAACAAGAAAACATCAATACAGATTCTATTTTAAAGATCTCTCTTTATTTTGTTTAAAATATTCGAAAATTTGAAACAACAAACTTAATCCTAAAATACAAACGTATTTTTCGACTTTTCTATTTCCCCAATGTTACTGGAACTACATGAAAGCGGGCAATTTATTATGAAGCCTTTAAGCCTTCTCAATAACTGATGTGATGGGCGTTGCTAACTATTTTATAACGTCGTCAGTCAAGTTTAGCAAGATTGAAGTTTTAGAAAAATAGTTAACACCCAGTTAATTTTGAAACACCTGATTAATTTTAGATTTTAAAATAGCAAATAATTCCTTTAATTTTTGTGAATTTAAATGTTAAATTGATAGTACATCAACTTGTCAGTATGCTGAGAGCAATTCATAGTCAAAATGGCAACAGGAAGTAACTTAACCTCTACTAAAAAAAATTTATATTTTTATTAAATTAAAATTAATTATTAGTATTCCGTTGCTACTGTAAAATGGGGTGAATAGAAACAGTTTCGTAGACTATTAGCGATATAAATCGGTTGATAAAAATGTGGTATTATTTTCTCCTGAATATTTTAAAAACATGGGTCTTTGCTTGTTCTTTGCTTCCTTTCTTCTTCTTTCTTTCTATTATGGTTGCTCATAGGTAGGCTATCGCCTGTTCAACTTAACAAAGTCTCCCCGGAGGATTTATCAGCACTCTTCCACCGTTTTGGCGGCCTTCCTGCGAATCTTTTCCAATTGGGTTTTGTTGCGCTTTTTTGCTAGTCTGTTGTCGTCCATTCTTCTTTCTTACGTGTGTTTGTTCCAGTGCCTTCTCCTTGTCTAAACCTTATCTTCCTATATCCTGGATTTGCTCCACTCTCTAATACGCCCGTTTCTCGCCTATCATGTAGTGTTTTTTCCGTGTATGCTTCAGCATCTTCATTTCTGTTGTTCTATCATTTGCATTGTTTTGGCCGTGTCTGGTGTCTTGTTTCGGCTGCGTACGTGATGACTGGTCTTATCGCGGCTTTATATATTCTAATCTTGCTCTCTGTGTTGAGATACTTGTTCCTCCAGACGATGTCATTTAAACAGCCCGAAATGCGAGACGCCTTCATAGTGTGTTCTCTAACTTCTTTCTGCAGGTTGCCATAACTTGATATTCCAACCCCTAGATACTGAAAGTGATTCACTTGTTCGATCAGTTTTGAGTCCACTTCCAGTTTGCACCTTACCGCCTCCTTGGATGTTACCAGGCATTTTGTTTTTTCGGTGTTGATTATCATGTTTAATTGTTTGGCCTTTAGATTAAACGCATGTAGTAGTCTCTGAAGATTGTCCTCTGTATCTGCAATGAGTACTGCATCATCAGCGTAGCATACAACGTGGAAGAAGGTGTTTCCCATTTTGTAACCTGCCGTTTTTGGTAGATTTTCTATTATTTGATCCATGATTAAGTTAAATATAAATGGGCTGAGGGAGTCACCTTGTCTTATTCCTGTTTGGATGAGTATCTCGTTAGTAAACAGATGTTGAACTTTTATTGCTGTTTTGCAGTTGGTGTTGATGTCATATATTAAGTTGATTAGTCTCGGGTTTAGTCCTTTTGTTTCTAGAATCTGCAATATATCTGTCAGGCGTACTCTATCGAAAGCTTTTGTCATATCTACAAAACACATATACGCTGGCTTATTAAGTTCCAGGGACTTTTCAACGATTTCACCTTAATAATGAATATTGCGTCAATAGTCGAGCGGTTTTTTGCGAACTTGTTGTTCGTCTCTAATTTGTATAGTTTTACTATTTCCTGTAGTTGTCTTAGTGAATGCTTAAGGTGCTGTCTAATAATGTTATTCCGCGATAGTTTTCTGGGACTGTTTGACCTTTTTAAATATGGGTATCGTTGTGCTGTTCTTCCATTCGGCGGGTATTTTCTGTTTACCACTATGTTCTGAAAAATGCTATTTCTTTCTGGGTAGGCTTAAGTTTTCTGTTCTGCGTATACATATAATTTGATTTTTGAAAAATATGCATATAAATATTAAATAAAAATAACATTTGTGTTTCTATTCACCTGCTATTCGGGAGAATAGAAACACACATTGATGTTAAGGTTTTTATCTATTATACTTCCAACAAGGTGATTAGAAACAGTAAATTATTACATATTTAAATAGGTTTAACAATCATTAACAATACATATAATATAACAACTTACATTTAACAGCTTATGTATTACTTTAAAAATAAATATTTTATTTATAAAGTTTTCGCGCCATACAAAATAGGTTTGGTTTGGTTTGGTTAAATCGATCTCACATTTATTGATCAGTTGATTGACAGAAACAGTGCTGCCACAGATAAAAATATAGTTTTTACATTTTATTGTGTATTACCAATGATAGAAAAATTAGATATGTCGACTCTTTTCTTTGAATATTTTTAACGATTTTTTTCAGAAATTTTTGTTTCTTTTTCAATTAATGTTTCTATTCCAAATCATTTTACCGTACCTTGGTTATGGTTTTAAGTTCCGTTTCTAGGTTTCCTGAAAGTTTTCTTATTACGGAACGCGGTTCCTGAAAAATCGGTTATAACTGTCACCAAACTACCAGCGCGAGAAGGCTGGTTTTTCTGATTTTGTTTGTCAATCAATGTCATTTATGTGACAGAAATAAAGCAAATATTGGAAGTTCGAGTGAAATTCTCATTTAATTTCTAAAATTTGTAATAATATTTTGTATTTACATCCAAAAACAATGGAGGTAGGCAGTAAAGGTAAATAAATTTCATTAACTAAATATAATGACTTTTTAGGACCATTTAAACTTATCACGCAGCCATTGTTTCTTAAAGTCAGGAACATTTAAAGAAAACATGAAAAACAAGACAAGTAATCGTGAATGTTTTGTAAGCTCTAAAAATATAAATATTCATTAGATTTGTTTATTTATTATTGATCTGTTTTAATATTGGATCTGCAAATCTTCACTTGAGCTGTCTAACGAGTTTAACAGTTTATTAATAAAGTACTTTTATTAATATTAAACTCCATTGAAAAGAAGCACAGAATAGGTACATTAAAAAGGCATAAGATAAATTTTATAATAGAGGTATTGAAATTAGATAACGGCAACATTTGACGTTTCCAGTATTTTACCAAACCGTTCCGTATCAAACCGATATTTTTCAAGAACCGCTCTTTACCGTAGTTTACTGGTCTGGTTCGCCTGGTTTTGCAACGGAATATAGCCTGTATACATAATGTTAATAAATAGTATTGAAAATTTTAGATAAAAATACACGATTATAATATGTTTGTTCCAACAGTCCTAGAACGGTAATTTCCTATCAGTCAATTCATCTGTCAATCTTGACAAACGATCAAACTTTTCAAACAATAAGTGAGCGACTAGAAATTACCGTCCCAGGATCGGTTCTCGGTCCGGTTGGAACGAACGTAATATATTTTCAGGCTTTAGTAATTTATTATATAGATTGTTTAGTGAAAGAAATAAAGTAAACATTAAACTAGGTTTGCCTATTGATTGAAACAAATTTACTATTTTTGAAATAAACATTGTGATTTTTTCTCTACATGTGTTTTGTCTCTTTGGCGTTATTTTAAACTGACTAAAGGTTGTGAACTACTAAAATCTCTTTTTTAGTTCTTTTTTAATCGTTCTAATTAATACAAATTTTCTAATTTAGAAATAAACAATACATGTGTTTTGGATTTTAGAGGTTTTTCTAGAAATATGTCCGATTAGGAGAGCATAAAAACTCATAAAAATGAAATTTTACTAGATTTTAGACTTTACATGAACGAATTTCTTAAAAAAATAAAAAAATAGTGAAAAATAAAAAAAATTCTTTTCGATGTAATATTATAATCTGTCCAACAACTCAGAGAACAGATTTCAACCAAACAGACGACATCCAAAAAATTACAGAAAATATGATTTGACAGACACATTTGTCACTGTCAGACACCATCCTGTTGGATAGACTATACATAGAAATATATCACAGAAACTGAAATAGTACTGTTGCAGTCTAGTCTGGGTTAGCAAAGATATTATTATTTTGAAAATTAACTAAGTAAATAAATAACATCTACAGAAAAAATATTCTTTCTTACCTGTAAACAATTCCTTTGTTGTGTAAGAACTTCAAACCTGAAACGATTTCAGCACCGTAGAATCTTGCTCTTGCTTCAGAAAATCGTCTTTCAGCTTGGATGTGGAACATCAAGTCGCCACCGTTGAGGTACTCCATAACAAAGAACAGATGAGACTGAAACAGAAGAAAACGTCGATATTACAAGGGTTGCCTTTTATATTTTGCATATTGTAACAGTCAAATTTCTTCGCAACGACCTCTGTGTGCTAGCTCATAAAATATCACAAATAGCTATTATTTTTGCATCATGTTTACTATAATTTTATTGTTAAATATTATTTTATTTAGTATTTTACCATTATGCAACCGAATATACACCGCGATATTATACAAGCTACAGCTCAACTACCTCTACACTCCATAAGCTCAACAATATTGTCACTGGAAACGGCCGACCAGC